AGAGAAAGAGAGAGAGAGAGAGAGAGAGGAAAACTGTAGTGATGAAGCGATCTTACCATCTCCGTTGACCCCATTTAAGTTATTTCGGAGACAGGCTACTTTAGTGGGTCAGCCAAGAATAATATATGTTACTTACATCACCAGTTAAACGTCATCAAAACATCAAATGCCATTGGGAAGGAGAACACAATTACTGATCAAAGCATTCACTCCTTTACATGATGGAAGTAGAAAGTGTTATCGAAATAATTATCATAAAGTCTGTTTTTCGGACTCGCAACCGTAAGGTGGCTGGTTCGAATTCCGTCAGGCCTGACGTTGTGTTCTTGGAAAGGTACTTTATACTGTTTTCCTCATTTCATCCAGGTGGAAATGGGTACCAATTAAGCTATAGACAGAGAAAGATCTTGTCAGTTTGTTGGTGTTTGAGGGTTTAATCAGCTGCCTGCACTGTATGCTTCCCAGGAAGCTGAGAATGTTTCTGAGTGTTTTATGGTCTGCTGGGGTAATAATAATAAAGTGCTATAATATTATTATTATTATTATCATCATCATCATCATCATCATCATCATCATCTTCATCATCATCATCCTCATCATCACTATAGTTTCCAAAACGACGATGCTTTTCCAAACCTGTTTATTAGCATTGAAAGTAAAACATTCGTCTGGAGGTATCGACACTGAATGGTTGTAGGAAGACATGGGGTTTTAGTTGGGCGGGGGCGGGTGTGGGGTGGATTTGTTTGTTTTTTTGTTGTTGCTTTTATACTTGTGTGTTCTTGGAAAGGTACTTTATACTGTTTTCCCTACTTCATCCAGGTGGAAATGGGTACCAATTAAGCTATAGACAGAGAAAGATCTTGTCAGTTTGTTAGTGTTTGAGGGCTTAATCAGCTGCTTGCACTATATGCTTCCCAGGAAGCTGGGAAGCTGCCACTGTAGGCAGGACGCGGAACGGCTTTGTCTGCAAGGGGGAGAGAGAGAGAGAGAGAGAGAGAGAGAGAGAGAGAGAGAGAGAGA